AACCGTGAGCAGAGGACAGGTAAAGAGCATTTCATTCCACCAGTCTCTAAGCAGTTGGGCTGGAGTTTAATTTAAGTGCCCGGGTACCATGGAGATGCAAGCTCTGTAAGTACCCAAGAGAGGCTTCTTTCAGCCAGCCCACTGGTTACTGTGCTTGCACCCCCTCCCCTGCTTCCCACCAGGGCTCCTCTTCTGCGGTTGGGGTAGATGTGGAGGAAAGCAGTGCTTTGCAGGAACTCCCTCTCTCTGTTCACACCCTTTCTTTCTCCTCCACACCCGGACTCTCAAAACTGAGATTTCATCTTTACCTCCTCCTTCAGTGCATAATTCATTTCGTTGTTGGTGAAAGACACAACAGCTCCCAGCCCCCAGTACACAGAGGCCTCTTGGATGGGAGAGTGGAAACCTCTCCTGCCAGTCCCAGGGTAACCTCCTGTCCCGAAGAAATCCAGTTCAGTTAATGAATGGACCAGCAATAAAAAGGCGGCATAGGGAGAAAAGTGCCCCTCCTTCCACAGAGACAGCTCAGCCTTGTTAAATTCCCTGCTATCTAAGCCCCAGGTGGGTCTTGTTGACAGCATTGGTGGAGGTTGAGAACCAGGTTGGTCTATCTTCAGCTTGGAATTCAGAACCCACACCTCAACTCTGCCCTTTCATTGTAAACTCAGCTATGGCCTCAGCATGCCCTCTCCCACCTGCAGCCACTCCAACAGATATGCAATCTGACTGAAAGCAGGAGTTCAAGACTAGTAGTCTCCTGGCTGCTCCTCCACCCCCTTCCAACCAGACTGTTTATAACCTGAAGTTCCTTCTTCTTTGGCATTCTAGATCCTACACTGCCATGAATTCAGGAGCAAAAAACCAGTTGGGAGGAGCTGTGTTGGACTCTTGGCTCTATTATTTACCATGTCACTATAGAAAGTCACTTCGCCTCTTGAGTCTCAGTTTACACATCTGTAAAATGGGACTAATGAGAACCAGGGCAATGAGTCATTATTCATAGAAACTCCATCGATTTGTAAAATGAGTTGACTGTGCTAGACTTATTTCGATGTATTTTCAAGCTCTGTATTAAACACTGAGGACCCAGAGATAAATAAGAAACCACCTCTTCTGTCTCAGCTCTCATATCATCAAGGTTTTCTGCACCCTAATTTTCCCTGGCTTATAGGACATGGTTTCCCATCATTGAAAGAAAATAGTTCACGGGGGCTTCCCTGGTGGCGCAGGGGTTAAGAATCCACCTGCCAATGCAGGGGACACGGATTCGAGCCCTGATCCGGGAAGATCCCACATGCCGCGGAGCAACTAAGCCCGTGCGCCACAACTACTGAGCCCGCATGCCACAACTACTGAAGCCCGTGGGCCACAACTGCTGAAGCCCATGCGCCTAGAGCCTGCGCTCCTCAACAAGAGAAGCCACCTCAATGAGAAGCCCGCGCACTGCAAGGAAGAGTAGCCCCCGCTCGTCGCAACTAGAGAAAGCCTGTGCGCAGCAACGAAGGCCCAACGCAGCCAAAATAAATAAATTAAATTAAATAAATAAATTTATTAAAAAAGAAAGAAAATAGTTCACGGGCCGAATTATGAACCACACGTAATGCACAACTAAAGAAAGGGGACATTATCGGCTCAGTCACATAAACGTAACTGTGCATCCTCCAGGATGCGTGGGAGGCAAAGCATGATGTGGGGAGGAACAGTCATGGAGCTGGAGGAAAAATCTCCGCAGAGGTTTCCACAGCCTCCATTTCCTTGAAGAATGTCGATGCTAACAGGAAAGTACTGCTGGCATATCTGTTTTTTTTTTTTTAAAGCTAATTTCTTCTCCTTACCATTTTCATGAAATATGTTACCCTGCCTCTCTGATTCTCTGAGACACGTGGGTGTTCTCCTTTGCTGCTGTGGTGGGGGAAAGGATTTCAATGGGTGTCTTAAAAAACAAGACAATCTGTTTTCAGGTTCAGGTGGGCGACCCAGTTGTGAAAGCAAACGAAGAAAGGCTTGTCCTGTGGTTACTTCTGCTCAGCCCCAACTCAGCTCCAGAGCAGCCAGATGCAGCCCCAGGAGGAAGGCCGGGAGAGGCTGGGCTTCTTGTCAGATTCCTGCAGTTCATTCACCTGTAGAATAATGTCCAATTTGCCCTATCACATGGCTGAGCCGGTTTTACCTTTAATCCCTTTCACGTTGGTCCTCAGCCTCAAAGAATGCCTGGGGATGATTCACCCACCATCACATGGGGCAGGCAGTCATCTGTTTCATTACCTCACCCTGCTTGCAGCTTCTGGGAGATAACCCAGGATTCTTCTGCCACGGGGAGGTTGTGGGGTGGAGGTAAGGTGGACAGAGTAAGGCTTCAAGGAGTTGATTCCTGCTCTGGTCTCAATTTCCTGCTTCCCAGCCCAGGTCTAAAGATGTGCAGGAACAAGTCATGTGGAAATGCCAGGGCTTGGGCACCTGGGCTAAAAAGAAAGTTGGATTTGGTGGTCTAAAAGGGGTTTTCCCTTCACAACCAACATCAGCCGGTGGGAAGGCATGGTTGCAAAACAAGACAAAAAAATGAAAGCAGCAATTAGGAAGATTGTCACAAATAACCACACACAATTTTCAGGCGGGGAAAGGACATGGGCTTGTGTTTGGAACAGAAAATACTTCATCAGTTTCACAGGGGTGTACACAGTGCTCCAAATGTACCACGGGGAGGCCCCTGAGATGACAGCTTACCATGGAGTGCCAAGCCCTCTACACTTCTCATCTGTAGCCCTTACGACAAGCCCTACAGAGTCTATATTATTATGGTGACTTTCAGACCTAAGACTGGGACTTCAGTTAAGCAAGTTACTCAAGGTCACACAGCTAGAAAATAGGGAGGGTTTAAGACCCACACAGACTGGTTCCAGAGCTTTTGCTTCTCAGCCAAATAACTACGAAGCTAGCATCAAAAGGGACAAGCATTCATAAGTATCCATGATATTCCAGATCCAGAGCATGGGTAGGTCCAGGAGTTGCAGAGTAACTAAAAAAAAAAGAAAGGAAGAATAGGTTAATGGTGGAGAGCACGAGTACTGAAGTCAGACCTAGGTTCACTTATTAGCTCTGTATCCCTGGTCAACAATATAGCATCTTGGAGCCTCAGTTTTCTCATCAGTGAAATGGGTATAATAAGTAGTATTCCTTATTCCAGAGTGGTGTTGTGACACTTCTATGAGATCCTGCGTGTGAGGCACCTAGCACCACGTTGACTTTAATTTTGAGCTATTGCCCTCATCACTAATGCGAGGATTTTATACATAGTGAAGTTGAGGCCCAAGCAGAGGCAGTGCAGAGGGCTATGGGAATGTCCCCATAAAAGGAGTGGGAATTCCTACTTCTAGGTGTTGTGAGGCCAGTCTGAGGCCCACATTTCTGGACTTTTGTGCATGGCATCTATGGAATGAGGGAGGGAGGGTAAGGCCAAATACTGAGCCCATGAGTCTGGCCTTAAGAAGTAACTGGCTTTGCAGAAGGCATTTGGAGGTGAGGAGCTGCCGTGGTGGGCCTTCTCTAACAAAAGAAGATGAGACCACAAACATGGGATTCTCCCCTTTGCTCAGCACACCCTGGCCCATACAACACAGAATGCTGGCTCCTCTGGGAGACTGTGGGGCTCAGACAAAAGGATACACCACACTGGGCTTCATTCCTCCAGTTCAGCTCCCCGCTATATATCCAGGGCAAAAAATGGTTAAAGACACAGTCAGAAGACATAGACAGCCTGTTGATCCTTAACTCAACTTTAATTAAGTAATTACAAATTTTTAATTTCTCAAGCTATATTGAGTTTTAAATTTTCTTCTCATTTTTTTCCAACATGGAATTTTACTTTGCTTGCTTTCTTCTTTTTCGTAACCCCCTTCCCCCAAAGCTATAACATATCAAATAGTATCGCAGAGGAGAACACAGGGGAAGCTGCCTGGGACAGGTTACGTATTCAATTTAATGAACAACAACGTCATTACTATTACTTTTACAGAGTGCTTCCCTGACACCTCCTGTAAGTCCTCCGGGGTCGAGGCGGGTGGGGTAGATTGATAGCACTCCTAATTTTACGGTCCCGGGGAAAAGCCAGCTACATTTGCAAATACGAGGGGTGGGGGGATGGGTGAAACAACGTGGGGAGAAGAATAAGAGGGAGACAGATGGTGTGTGTGTTGGGGGAAGGGATCAGAGATCCTGGAAAACTTATGTTCCCCGATTTGCAAGAATGTTTCCACTTAACTACTTCTTGCCTGACTCCTGATTCTACATGAGAGAAGCGGGGAGTTGTAAGATTTCGTGCCACCTGTGCAAGAGCCTGGACCCTCGGGGTGGAGAGAGCCAGGAGCGTTGGGAAGCAGAGGGAGAGCGGGTCTTGCTCTAGCCCCCTGGGGCGCCAGTCTGGGTCAGGGACCCAGGTGCGGGGCGGGCTCCCATTCCTCCGGCAGGAGCAGCCGGCGGTTGGGACTGTCCCACGAGGGGGCGCGTCTCGGGCCCTAGGACCCGCCCTCGCTGCGCTGGGCGCGGGGAGGGGACGCGGGAACCCTGGCGCCCGGTGCTCCGCCTCCCGTTTCCGGGGCAGCGCGGTTACCTGCACC